CTTTTTCCGACCAAAAATAAAAAAAAATAAATAAATATTTGAATTTTTGTATTTTTCGGGTGAACATATCCCAAAAATAGCCAAATTTTGGCTAGAAATGACATATATTTCCCTAACCTTGCTTCTGCTAAACTAAATGGTATAGCCTAAACAAGATCTGTTGTAAAATGTTTCTTATAGAGACTCAAATCTCCAACAGTGTTATATCTGAAAAAGGTTTGTTACCTCTACTTTGCTTGCGTAAATCAAGATAGATTTACTCAACCAGAGTCTACGGAGAGTCTACCACTAATATCGATCTCCGGGGAACTTAAGCTCCTAACTATAATACCTTTTTTTCTTTTTCAAATCAGTAAGCTTAAGGCCAAGGAGCTATAGCTTCTATAAATTTTAGTTAGATGTGATTTATAATTACGTTATAATTTTGTTAATAAATAAATAAATATTGAAAATGTTAAATGATATTATAGAAATTCTTTTCTTTTTAATTAAAAGACGTTTTTATTCTGTACTTTTAGTGCATTTAGCCAGCACTTTTTTTATTATTTTTTCTCCTATTCTTTTTATTAATTACATTTCACATCTTTATTATTATTAGAGGTACTTCAACTTTAATTTATATTAATATATATTACAGTGAAGTTAAGCACTGACTGCATGTGTGAGTAAAGCGAACACGACGGACTACTTCACAACTACACTATTTACTAGTTTCAACAATGAAAATGTTAATACTAATATTTTTCTTATTTTTATTAAGTCCTTTTATATTATATATATAATAATAAAATAAATTTTACAGTGATTTAAGCACTGACTGCATGTATGAGTAAAGTGAAGAGGATTACGTCGTACTAAATACCAAAAATATAAAAAAATAATAAGCACATATCACTTATGAATACATAATTTTGTTACCACCAGAGAATTACACTTAGTATTAAATCGAACTTAGTATTAAAAAAGTTAATTAAAAACTTCTTAAAAAATATTTAAGAAATGGTAGGAAATTGTTATGAAGTCTCAACGCCCAAATCCTAATTTGCAATCTATGGGTTGTAATTCCGTGCATTTATATTGGCCCAGGCTACTTTCAATTAGTATACTCCTCAATTAGCTGAAGAGAAGTTTTTCATAAGATCTTCTTCTGTATGTAAATCATGGACTTTACGAACTTTATGACGATGTTGGATGATGATGTAACCGACAAACATTGACCTAAAGTCCCTCGCAATAACATTGAAAACACATCCCCATAACCTTTTAAAAATGTAATTTAAGGATGAAAGCGCCATAATGTTGGGTGTGAGTTTCTAAGTAAAGGTTTCGCTGGGACAGTGAAACGACATCTATTAGCAATTAATTTCTTTTACTTTATAACGATGAAATGGTTAAGTAAATGGGATCCAATTAAAGGTAACCAACGTTAAAACTTGTTTCTTCAGGTCTTTCAAGTATTAAGTTGTCTAACTACCTCGCTTCAAAATTTGAAAAAAAAAAATATATATTTTTTTAGCCGGAAAGAGAAGTCAACTTATTGAAATTAACAAGACATAAAATTGAATGACGTGTATAAGTTGAAATAAATTTTTAATTTAATTTTAAGTAATTGTACAAAAACTAGATAAATCCAAAATTGGAAAAAAAAATTTATTAACAATTTTAGCAAAAATTATCAAAAAAAAAAAATATTTGTAAATAAAAAAATGTAAACAAAAACCGGCAAAAACCAATTTAAGAAAATAATGTTAAGATATTTATTTAAAAATAGTAAATATTTGTTCTATATATGTTTGTAGCTATGTGTATATATTCCTATATATACATAGCCCAATATAAATATCATATAAATTTATTATATTTTCCATAATGACTCAGATATCTATCTAATGCAGGTCCCGTCATACCCCCAGCACCATAACCTACTCAACAATAAAGCGAGAGATAGCAATCATGACACCTGATAGACCGGCAAATACAACACCCGAGAAACTAGAAAGTACGAGAATAATAGAAGAAATTACGCCGCAGAAAAGTTTTTATAAACAAATGACAGTGGAATGAGAGAGAAACTGAAAGCTAAACAAAACTTGATAGAATCAAAATAGTCATATAAAGAAAAAATATAATATATACGAACAACACACAATAGGCTTATATGTGTACACCATAAATAGAAACGGGTATGGGCAAATGGAATGGAAAAAAAAAAGTAAATAGATTATGCAATCGTGGACGAAATTTAATTAGGAAAGTAAATTTTTATTTTTATTATGTAATAAATAAAACGAGCCGTCATAATTTTTAACGAATCGTTTTGTTTATTTTTATTTTTTTTTTTCTGCTTTTGCCGCAACGTCAGATATTGTGCGAATATAAAACTGAGTACATGCGAACTTAGGGGAAAATTTAACGAGCGGCACAAGATACATATGAGACTAATTGAAAATGGATTGGGATGGAATAGAGCTGTAAGCTGACATTTTTTGTGCAAAAAGAGATAGTCATATAGGAACTAACCTTTTATTAGGGAATCTAAGGGTGTTAAAGAAACAAACAGGTCTACGAAACGGGTTATAACAACATCAGACGTGCCCATTTGAGACTCACGCAATATTATTGAAGATCAAGTGTATATTATCATTATCATATAAACATAATGTAATAGAACTAAAATTCTAAGTTGGAACTAAATATCAGGCAAGAAATCCAGTCAACTGCTTGTACGATCTTGTACAAGTGGAACTCAAAACCAACAGAACCCATATATGTTGTTACTAAGTCCCTATTTGGAGTAATGAGCGACCCTCTGACGTCAAGTAAACAAGTGGGTTCAAAATGTGGAGTGTGGGATACTCCTGGAAGCGGAGGTTCTTAATGCTGGAAAACCGCGTAATCACTCTACACTTAAAACAGAGAACAGTTCCATAATAAACATGTGCGAAGATAGTCAAAGTAGCATTAAAAACAAATCCATAACAACATATTATATCTAGAAATGTTATAAAACAGGAAGCTTACTGTGAACACACAATTTAGGTAGTTAAAGAATATCTTGAGTTAAAGTCAAAGACATCACGCTATAATAAATCTAAAAATGTTCTAAAAAGGGAAGCTATCTTCAAATACACAATTTAGGAAGTCAGAAAATGTCTCGGGAACAAAAGTTTATAAATATACTGCTTGATGACTTCTACAAATCTATAAAGATTTTATTGCATCTGTTATTGATGAGAATCAAACTATTTGTATATGGCCTATATCCAGCCAGATCAACTTTTTATAACCTAAATGGAACAAGTAGAAATTAAAATCAGGTTACAAGTACAACCTTACCGAATTACTCAAGTTACTAAAAAAATTGCATTAAAATTAACTTTTTTTAGAGTTTTTACCTAAACAGAAACGTGTATAAAAACACTTTTTCAAGTATAACGGCACTTTTATTCACCAGCATTGTCAACATTGCAATTTTTTTATTTTATTATTTTCTTATTATTCTTTTCTTTTACACTGTAAAATACACACAGTATAGTTTGGTTGCTCAAGCAGAACAAAAGGAATACAAACAATGCAATTGCAAAAAATATCAAAAAAAAAAAATTTTAAAAAAACAATAAATTTGCAACAACAACGTTGTTATTTTGTGTTGGAAAAATATACGTTAACGTAAACTATAAAAAATTGATTTTTCGTAAGCTGATTACTAAAGTTTCACCTACATACTTGTATGAAGATTATATCATATATATTAACTATTATTAACTATATATATTAACTATGTAATAGACACATTTTCAATGTCTGATTTTATTACTTTAATAAAAATCTATCGGAAGTTCTATAATAAAATCCAGTTGAAAAATTCCTCAACATATTTTACTAAAATAATTACGTCAAGCATTAAGAATGTTATTTTATATTTGAATTGCTCTATTTAATAGTAGATTTCATATCAATTACGAAATAAACTCATTCACTTCACTCACATATGCAGTCAATGTGCAACTTATGAACTTTTTGTTGTTGGTTGGTTTATTAGCATTTAAATGAGATAAAATAAACTTTTACAATAATTTTACAAAAAATATTAATACATTAATGCAACATTGCTTTTCATTTTGAATCATATATACTTGAGGGGCTAGTATTTCTTATTTCTTATAATTAATTATAAGTAGAGTGGAAAAATTAAACTAAATTCGATAAGCTATAATGACGAATAAATATAGAAAAGAAGATAAGAGGGTTTTGTGGCCAAACTGGAATGTAGCACTGCGACCAAAGTATATTTTTTAATTTATTTTTTATTATTTAAAATTTATTATATTTTTTTAAGTAACGCTGTCTAACATGATATAATACTAGCAAGCAGGTAGCTGAAACTACTAATGATATTTTGTCGTAACTAAAACATTATTTTTATTTTTATTAGTTGGAAAAATTTCATATTTTTACTACAGTACTGTGTATTTCTTATTTGAAACCTACCTTAAACTTACATTGAAAAATTAAGTCGAAGTAAATGAGGAAAAAACTTATCGCATTTCAACTAGTAATTTAGGTCATTTTAAATTATGTTGAAATATACATCAGAGGTAAAACCATAGAATGACACTTAAGACATTTCGCTGATAACAGCAGATGTTGTGGTTTTCAACTTCAGTACAAACACTTGAATTATTATCAGTCAAGAAAGGCGGGTACATTTACTGATAAATCATATCAGGAATTGTAGAAAGAAAAAAACTTAATAGTTTATTTATAACCTACACATGCATATATAGTGCAATACAACAGAAAATGATTATTATTTTTAAATGGTTTAAATTGCAAACAAAAGTAAAAGAAACTAGACACTTCAGATTATGCCAGCAAATAAATTATTTTTGCCTATCAAAGCAACTTTTAATCAATTTTTATTTATTCCTAAATAAACAATTTTGATTAAAAATATTTTTAGTTTAAATAAATACATAAACAATGTAAAATCAACTTACCGAGAGGGCATATTATTCAAAATCTTATCAGTTAAAAATCCAGCGCGATTACAACGCTCAACAAAACGGTCCAAAATGATATAAGCGAGTGGCACATCCAGAACTATATCTGCCATATCATCAAAAACACGCAAGAAGCCCTAAGTCAAATATAAAAATAAAGTTTCATATGTATAATAATAACTTAATAGAATATTTGATATTATTTGTTTATATTATTAATAAAATTTATTAAATAATATTTGTATGAGTTAACTTACTTGTTCCATGCCAGCTGGCAATACTAAGCAAGCTTGATCCAATGACTTTAAAAGTTCACACATTGCTTCTTCGTTAGTCTGACTCAACGATTCGAGAGTCAAGACAACTCCCTCATAAACTAATTCATGATGGAAATGTGGCACCTCAAGAGCCCTTAAACAACGATGCGCCTCCTGCACATCACGTGATGACATGTATTCTCTTAAAAGCAAACCCATTTGCTTTGTAATAGTATTTACTGGCCGCAATGGACCACCCATACCCCAAACATTATCCAAATGTGCCCAACCCTGCTTCATGTGCAGTAGGGTGTCAGCACGACGAAGAGCTATTTGAGCATATTCATTTTGCTCCTCATACTTCTTTGGGTCTACAACGAATTTTGGTGGTATGCAATCATCAGCAACAGCACGGGCCAAAAAATTGCCTTTATAAATGAAACGTAAGTAAAATTTATTAAAAATAGAATACTAAGCAAATAAATAAATTTTTTTGGACTTTAAACAAAACATATATTTACATATTTAATAACTTACCACTTATTGTTGGTGCTTCCGGTGTGTCCAATGTTAAATCTGGCAAATTGCCTAACAAGATTTCGAAACCTTTTTCGATATCTTTACCTGTAATCACACGTCCATATAAATCAGATATTAATACAGACGTCATTTCACGTTGAGAATCTTTATGATCCATTGAGATCTCTACCACAACACTTGTTACGTATGGCCTTAAAGGCCCAGTCAATATTTCATCCAAACTCATGGCAACTTCATGCGCATCACCATGCTCATAATACTCCAAAATAATTGGTTCAGCCAATTTAAAGAACTCTTCAGGCGTTATTTCTGGTATTACTTCTCGTAACTCAATATTACGATCATTGGTTTCACTATCGTAATTTGGATCGTGCTCATCTTCGTACACTTCTTCAAATGCTTCAGAACCTGGAAGACCCCAAACACCTTTACGACCGGCACCACCTTTTTTTGGCAGACCACGACCATAACCATTACGTGAACGACGACTATTCTTCCAACGACGATGTGGCACAATATAATTAGCTGCACTACCATTTGGTACAGCTGCTCCGGCTAACCCATTACTTTCACGACTGTTTTGCCTGTGTATTAAACGTTTAGCTTTACGTTTAATGCGATCATGACCATCACCAACTGGTAATGGTTTTTTTATATGACCGTTTACGCCTTTCGGTGAACCAGAGGAGCCATTCAACTCAACAGCTTTAACTTCGTCATTAAGCTCACGTTCAACAGAACTTTCACGAGAATCGGTGGCATTGCCGTTATGATTAATAGTTTCTACCTCCATTTTATCGGATGGAAAATATAGGTTTTGTTGATATCACTTGTAAATTAGTCAGGTAGATAAGCAGAAAACACTTTTTTTCACCTAGTTGTACTTTAATGCAGGTGCTTTTGTAGTAAAACAAAGCTACACACTTGTAGTTAAATACGCTTAAAGGTGGAAACCGGTAAAAATGTGGGTTTTACACGCTCCAAAACCTTTTTGTCCTTTAAAAGTTACGAATCCACTTCGGAAGCTGAAATATGCAGAGAAGTGTATATATTTGTTAGTAAGTTGTATTGATATATACATTAGATATATATTATATTATATATAGACATATATATATATTATATATATATCTAATATAATCTATATAATGTGGTTATATATCTGGCTGACAGTATAAGATAAATATAGATCAATATGTATAGTACTATTATAATACTATATGTATAGTATTTAATTTTTTATTAACCAGGCAAAAACGAAATACATGGGTTTTAACATAGGACGAACCCACAAAATCTAGATGGAATCGATGGAGTCTTACGTAGTATTTTTGGTTCAATACAGGATGAAATAATGGAGAGCATAGAATTCGATGGAAGACATTGAAAACGTTGATCTCTTCAACCACAAAGATTTCGTTGGATCTAATACGGAACTAGAATGAATCCCAGAAGAATATAAACTAAAATCATGAATTAACTTCCAGAAGTGATCCAGTCTACATTGAGGTGGCTGTAGATTCGAAGGACGACCAGGTCCCGCATTCATCGAGTTCGACCAACAAGCCGATCGTCATTAACCACTTCCAAATGCGACAGATCCCCGCGGGCTACAACAACAGCATCGCGGTTTCACTCGTCTGACAGATTGATAAGTGCTAGTCACCACTCCGAAAATGGGACAATACCAACTGGTCTCCTAGGGTTATAACCGCAATGTAATCTTTTTGATTTTAACTCGCGTTGGTAACGTGTATCTTTCAACACGATTAATATGACGGGAAGACGTCAAGACAGATTTAAAGAATATCAATATTTGAAACTGGACAAAGTTTGCTAGCAAAAGCCCGGTATGGAATGAAATTTCTCAGGTCTATAGAGTTAGTTGAGTTATAGAATCAAATGGGGGTGATGAATATCAGATTTAATTCTATAATACCTGAGCTGATACTGAAGATTGGATTATCCTAAAAGATAAATTATATTTGTTCGATGCCTTGAGTGTGTATTCGATACCCTGAACAATATAGAGATATTCTATAAATATCCATCATAGCTTATTTTATTAACATGTTAATTATGCATTATTCTTTAATGTTTACTATAACTAAATTATGCATGATATGACGGCAGGCAGGCAAGCAAACAGGCAGTCAACAAAACAACAGCTCCACCTAATTGAAAATGCAAATGCACAAAGTGCAGTAACACATGATGCAGTGCCTTCAACGTCGACATTTAATACCAGCAATGAAGGCTTTAGAAACTGCAATAATAGACACGATATACTAAGTACAACAGTGCATATAACAGAGCAGAGCAGAGCAACATATAGACGAGTCTATCTGCAAATATATAAATATTCATGTACAAATAGTAGAAAATAAACAAACTAAACTACCCGTAGACCCGTAGCTTGTCAATGCAATATACCATACTTCATAGAATTTCAACATAGAAAAACGGGCGTTGCATCAGGCGTCAAAGCACTCGTCGAAGGTTTGTTTACGAGTTTGCATTTTTCTATTTTTCATGTTACAACAAACTTGAGTTTAAGGCCTTAGTAGTGCGTTGCCATTTAATGACATTGTTGTTGTTATTGCTGTTGTTCTTGTTGTTTTTTTTGCATTATTTATACTATTAGTAATTTAGTTTTTAGTTGTTGTTTTTATTTTTATTTTTTCTGGCTGGCATTTTACAACACATCAGACATTTTACTTCATGTGCCAGCCAAATGCAATAATAGTTTTTATTGTATAATTAAAAAATTGTTTTGAAAAAAAAAAAACAAATAATATTGCATAAAATCCGTAATTTAGAATGTGAAAATTATATGATTTTATTGTATATTATTAGACTGTATTAGCCTGAGATTTTAGATTAGATACATTCATTAGAATGTTAAACCAAATAAATTATTATTATCATACGCATAAAAGAATAAGAAGGTAAAAAGTTATTTGAGATTAAAAATAAAAATATTATATTCAAAAAAAATATAATATATAGAGATAGATATTTACATTTTTTATAAGACATAACTTCTGGCTAGAGACATTCAACATCTTCAATGTGATTTAACATATTATATACGCTGGGGGCGTATATATATGGAAGTGAACACTAGAGAAAGAAATACAAGCTGAAATACGTTTGAAGAAATTAAAACCCTGACAAGAAGTCGTGACAGTTGGAAAAAGTTCGTTATAGCCCAATGTTCCCCCGGGAACGTAATGGAATGAAGAAAAAGATACCCTAAAACCTGATTGACACCGAATATAAAAGATCTGAATAAAAGTTTTTAAAAGATATAAACTTAGTATTAAAGAGAATGGACCTGAAAAAAATAGTAGTCTAAGAACCATACAAGGCTATGTAGCCAAGAACCATACAAGCTATGTAATCACAATCGCAGCTGACTCAGAAACAGAGTTTGCTGCACATAGAAGTCATCTCTCTTCCTTGGAGATATAAGACCTTAACATCACTATAATATCACATGCTATAACCCTAAATTTAGTTATGTCAAAATAGAGCTAACGAAGAAATAATTTGTCTGGATAAGATGTCAGACTTACCATATTGCAAACTAAGTTTTAATGATTACGGTATCTATATATATATAGAAGAACGGACTAAATCGGTATACGTACAATACATAACCACACTAAATTAATACTTTTAATTAAAACGAGATAAATCCCATCTGAGAGGTTCTATGCTAAACGAGAAGTTAATGGAACGAATAAGAAGACATTCGATCTAAAACTCAGATATTCGAGAATAAATGTTTGTTATTCGCATAAATGGATGTGAAAACTATAGCAGACAGAGACCCGTACAAGGCTGTCTTATCAATGATTAGAAGTTCATGAAAAATATTATTATATGGCTATGTTCTGATTTCAGTTGTCGGAACAGTTTTTCTACGTAAAGAAGTAATCTCTCTTCCTTAGAGATAATAGACCTGTTTAATACTAATCCTAATGCATACCGGGTCTAAAGCGATTCGAAAAGCTAAGTTGATAATTAATAACATAAAAGTTATAATAACTTATGGATGAAAAAAAAAGAATTAAATACCTAAACTCATATTCTAACTATTTATTTGTTTATGTATATAAATCATGTGCTTATTTTTTTTTCCCTATAGATACTTTATTTACAATCTACCCTAGAGCTAATCATTTCAACTAATATTCTATATATTTATTTATCTATAAACATCAGATGTACTCTCTGTTTTTGTTGTTTATAGTTTATTATAAATAATAAAATAAGCTACTTTGTTAGAATTGCAATATTTAACAGAAGCTTGTAAGTTCCATTGACAGTTCCTTATCAAAATAAGTAACGTTAATTCGATAATTAGAATTTAATACAGAAGTTTAATTAAATTTCTGTAGCTTATTAGTTTTTCAAATCCATAAGTTTCCTTAATTATCTGTTTTAATTTAATATATTAATCATAAAACATAAAACAGAAAAAATATAAGAAAGATATGTTTTTCCACACATATTTAATTTTATTAAGCAGTTCTAAACAAATTATAGTTATTTAAATGATTGACAGACCTCTTTGATTCAAAATCAAACATTTGCCTTTTAAATTACTGTTAATAACATAAATGTTATATGGAATTAACATTTCGGTGCAAATTCAATTTAGCGCTTAAATGAGGAAAGATCGTGTTAAGCCACAGTTAAAAGAGTAACTAATGCATTGGAGGCCGGTTGCTTCTGCATTGCATTAACAAATTTTGTTTACATTTTTTTTCGCTGTTATTGCTTAATGTTAAATGAATTTATTGTTGTATTTCTTTTAAGTAATACATATATAAAATGAACTAATAAAATTATCTTATGATTTTCTTAACATTTAATTATTTAAATAAATTGGTTAAAACTTCTGTTTATGTATTTTGTGACACATACTTTATAAATAATTTTAATTGCAGTATATACAGATGGTCCTAAAGAGAACCAGCCATTTTATTGTAGTTCTGAACTGTCAAAAGTTCGCAATTTGCAGAAACAGATTGAAAAAAGAAACTAAAACATAAAATAAAATGACATATAAAACAATATTAAATAATATAAAATAAAATTAAATAATATAAAATAATATTAAATAATATAAAATCTAAAAAATATAGTATAATATTATATATTAAAAAATATGGTATAAAATAATATTTAAAAAAACTAATAATATAAAATAAAAAAAATATAGATTAAAAGAAAATAAAAAAAAAAATAGTATAAAAAAAAATATAATATACAAGAAAATAAAAAAAAAATAGTATAAAAAAAAATATAGTATAAAAGAAAATAAAAAAAAAATAATAAACTAAAAAAGAATATAAGTATAAAATAAACTAAAAAATATATAGCATAAAACAAACTTACAAGAAAATATAGTATAAAATAATATAAAAAAAATATTGTATAAAATAATATAATAAAAATGTAGTATAAATTAATATAAAAAAAAATATAGTATAAATTAATATAAAAAAAAATATAGTATAATTAATATAAAAAAAATAGTATAAAATAATATAAAAAAGTATAGTATAAAATAATAATTAAAATAAAATAAAAAACATATATAAAATAAATAAAATATATAAAAATAAAACAAAAAATATATATAAAAATAAAAAAAAAATATATATAAAAATAAAATAAAAAATATATATAAATAAATATAAAATATATAAAAGTTAAATGAAAAAATATATTTATATAAAACATAAAACATTTAATTATTGAAAAAATATATAAAAATAAAATAAAAATAAAATAAAAATAAATATAAAATACATAACAAATTTTTTTCCTTTTTTTTTTTTCTTTTCGAAAATGAAATCAAACTTAAAAAGCTTCTTAGTTTTATCTTAACTAAACGGTTTTAATTAAAACCAATCAAAGTAAATATGCACATACATACATATGCACATATCGTATATTGAAAATAGTAGAAGCTACTCGAATTATTAACTAGTAATAAATTTTATCTATA